TAAGGTTGTGTTGTCCGTTGTAACTGCTAAATGATTTAAGGGGGGCATATAGGACTCGATTCAAATATGATTATTAACGTGCTTTATTTTTTAAATGATACATGTTAATCGAATCAAATAAATTAGAAAAAAATTGCTCCTTTTTTCAAATTAGTTTTCATGACTTGTAGCATTTTGACAATTGTAATTTCAATTTAGTTATTAAATTTAATCTTTTGTTTTTATTTTTGTCCAATTTATTATTAGTTTGGTCCTTGAACTTATAACGTATTGTCATTTTGATATCTAAAAGTGTTTTCAAATCATTCCCGAGTCTCATATTGCATGTAAAATATTAGCATATCAAGCTCATAAAATGCATATGAAAGTTCATCGTTCAAAAATAAAAAAAACAGCGTAGAGTGAAATACAAGTTCATAATAACATAAAAAAAAATAAGCTTTAAACTATAATTTTCCTCGTATTTATTTTGTTTTTTGTTTTATTATTTTACTACATAAATACATAAAAATAAATAAGATGATATTGTTTGTTGTGTTTATGAAATGACTATACCTTTATTAAACTAAAGTTAAAATTCGAAAATCCTATAATAATATTAAGTTGCATATTGTATGCAAATATAAAATCGTATGGTCTGTTTAGTTATATAATATTAAGCTAATTTAGTGATTACAAAGTATTACATATTTATTAGCTAAATCCAAAAAACTACTTATAAGATTCTATAATGTGTTAAAAGTAAATCTTTTATCCAAATAGAGCTATTAACTTATGTGTCATTAACATATATACAAAATTTTAAACCTAATTTTAAGTTCTTATGATATTTTTTTTAATTATATTTCATTGTGTTAGTATTTAAATTTTAAATTGTGAACTTACTATACAAAAATGTGTGAAATGTAGATAAAAATATGAAAAAAAAAATGGAAGTTGGGAAAGATAATATCTTTATTAATAATCTATATGTAACGTAGGACTTAATAAAAAAATGGAAAGTACTTTCAGGAATCAAAATAAAAATAAATAATAATATCACGCGTCTAGAAAAAAATAAAAATTTAACTAGATTGTTATTGCTATGTAAATAAATATTACGTGTGAAAATACAAATGTTAAATTTATCTCATAAAATTTAATAATAAAATTTCATTAAGATCATTTTTAATTTTAAAAATACTTGTTGTAATTCTCCTACTTTTAGGATTAGATTCACATCGCATCACATTTTCATGATAAAATTATTATTTACTCTATTAAAATAATCAAACAAACGCTTTTTAAAAAATAAATAAATTTACCAGGGCTTAAAAACAAGCAAATATCTTAATTTTGATTGGTATTTTGTGAAGAAAATTGATGAAATGAATAATTGCCCAACCAATAACTTTAATTGCTTGTTTATTTATGATGACATGCACTTAATTAATGGCATGGCATATGAAGGATCAAAAGAATGTTGTCTCAAATAATAATATTAAAAAAAATACTTCTCATTATAATGGTAATGAATTATGTTTAAATATTAATTTGAATTACATAATTAATGCCATTCAGTTGACATTTTATTTTACATAGATTAATTTCAAAATGTTCTGATACTTTTATTAAAAATGTGCATTCCAATTTTCAAACCTATTTTCTTCACCCCTTTCATTTCTCATGTTATAACAACAAAAAGGTATAATATATATATTTTGAATTTTATGAGCGGCGCATGAGTCAATTATCGGGGTGCAGGAAGCAAAGATACATGCCTAAAAATTCTAGGCCCAGCCCATTGTAAGTTGATAGTATATACTGTTGTTTTACTAGGATGCTTCACTTAAATAATTTTTTTCTTGCATTCCATATATATTAAAAAATAATATTATTTTATCAAAATTAGTAATTTTTTAATTTATAAATATATAAATTTTGTATATTGATGAATTCGAAAATGTAATGTTTTTTTAAAACTTCAAGTTAAACAATTTAAAATAATTAAAAATTACATTTTTGAAGTTTTGAATTAATGAAATAGAACCGTTTTCAAGTTAAAATTTTATTTTAATGAATCTAAAATGTTTCGAATAAAGTTTTTGTATTATTATTATTATTATTATACCATTCAAGGATTCGAGCATTTATCGGATCGAATTAGCAAATTTCCAATAATAGTTATTAATAATAATTTAGAAAAATTTCACATTCATCAATTAAAAAAAGTTTTCAAATTCATTAATTAAAAACTTAAAAAATATAATATTTTTTCATCTTTTGAATTGTGTAAGTTTTATAAGTCACTTTTAGATGGATTAAATCCACGTTTATAATATCCCGAAAAAATTCACCAAAAAATAAATAAATCTACATTTATAAAAATAGTGAAAGTTGATTCTAGAATTTTAACCACTTTCGTCATTTGAAATTAAAAAATTGTTTGACCCAAAAAATAACAAAATGATATAACTCGTAGCTAAATTAAGAGATAAAAAAAAAACCCGACAAAAGTAACAATGGACAAGAACAAAAGAGAATTTTACAACGTAAAAAGGTTACAAACTTTGTCTAAAAAGTTTAACAGTGTTCTTTTAGAATTGAATTGTGCAAAATCTGGCAGAAAGAAGGTGTTAGTGTGGAATCGAGAAGCCTGATCGAGAAATGAATCGAAAGGGAACTTTCCTGATGTCCGATTATAAAGAACGTGACACATAAAATCGAAAGGTAAAATCGGAAGAGAAGGTGTAATAGTCGAAAGCTTAACATGGAGTTAAAGTTAAAATAAATCGATACCAAGGATGCAAAGTTCTCGATTAAATCAAAGGGAAGGCTCGTTTTCGTAGATATCATAACCTCGGTTAAACCTTGAAGGAAAATAGTCAAAACGCACGCATGGAAAGCAGTTTCTAAGTTATGGAAGAGCCAAAAATCATGGGAACGTGGGGAAACAATAGAAGAAAAACTGCCATACGCACGTAGAACGTGGTAACGATCGTGTTAACTCGTTCTTGGAAGGCTTGAAAGATGCCCTATAAATAGAGCAAAGAAGGAAGGAACGGGGGAAATTGGCGAGAGAACGGAATCGGTAGTGAAAAGTCTACCGGAGAAACGACGAACACCATGAAGTTTACGGCAATCTGGATTTCCTTGCTCATCGAGTACATTTATCGCTTTCTATATTTTCCTTGGTAATTTACTTTCGAGCCATTTCAATTCGAGCAATTTCATATTCTTGTAGATTACATTCAATGTCATTTCGATTTCCTATTATTTATCGATTATGCAATCTTAATGGGTTTTAGCAATTTACATTTTTCGCACATTTCGATTTCCTGTTATTTACTTTACGTGCAATTTTAATGGGTTTTAGCAATTTACATTTTCCGCACATTTCGATTTCCTGTTATTTACTTTCTGTGCAATTTTAATGGGTTGTAGCAATTTACATTTTCCGCACATTTCGATTTCCTGTTATTTACTTTCTGTGCAATTTTAATGGGTTTTAGCAATTTACATTTCCTGACATTTCGATTTCTGTCCTTTATTTATCTCGCAAACTTAATTTCTTGCAAATTCGGGGTTTTCGCACTTTCTTGCAATTTAATATTCTCTTTGCTTCGATTCGATACTTTACTTGTTTTGTTTGAGTCAAGCATTTTAGACATAAAATACCAAAAACCACATTTTCGATATCCTGTAGTTTTCAATTCTCATACGCGTTTTCGATTGAAAATCAAATTGCTAGCCTAAGTAAAAAGAACTTACGTGGTAGAATTTTGATTAGGACCAAAGCACGCTTAGAATCGAAATCGATCGAAATTCCACTAGAAACAGAAGGGTTGACAAATGAAATCAAAGACTTGTCCAAAGCCACACATTTCCTTTTTCCCACCTTTCTTATCTTCTGCAAATAAAATCAGAACCAAGAGAATATTTTTTTTTTAAAATATATATGATAAAGAACATTCAAATTATGAGATATTTTCATCCACTTATTTGCAGGAGAATCCAGAAATTCTATACGAAATCTATATATAACCACTAATTAATTAAAGTTAACAAGTTTCGGTGTTGTTTTCTGTTTGCAACATAGGAAACCTTTAACCTATGCATAAATTCCTTACGAGAAATGTTCGTAATTTGGATTGTAATTGAAGATTAGTAAAATTTCAGCCTCATTTTATAATTCATCTCCTCTAATTAAAATATTATTTTAATTTTCAAGTTTATTTATCACTTTCTTTAGCTGAGGAATTCGATGTTGGGTAAAGTAATATATTTTTTTAAACAGATATAAAAAAAAACCTACAATTAATATCAATTTCTATGCTCAAAATAAAATGTTATTTTTTGTAAGTATAATCGCATGATTTTCTCTTTCATTATTCCCTGTGATCAAGACACATAATTAAAAAAAAAAGTTACGCAGTAATAATGTATTTTTTTTATATTCTTTACTTAAATTTTCAGATTTTGTATAAACTGAATTTTAGTTCATGATTATTTAAAACTATTTTATATTGTGAATATATAATTATGCATGCGTTTAGTGGAAAAAGCAGACACACGCTATTATTATTATTATATTTTATTTATTTATTTTGATGTCATTGGTTTTACTTTTACCACGCAAATAAATACCACGTTTTAAATTTTGCCTAACTAAATCTGGTTAGATAAGAATGGAGGTGGAAACACGTAAGCACGTGTCATACACAGCGAAGTAGGGTTGATTTTTTTGCACTTTTGATATGGGACCCACCAGGTGTGTCAATTTCGATTCTCTCGCTTTTTCATTCTTAAATAAACTACCTTAAAATTTTAAACACTCCTATATTATTTTCTCTTTGATCAAACACAGACGCAGAGAAATGGCTCTAACACTCCGCTCTTCGATTTCCCTGGTCAACCAGAAAGAAACCAAACTAGCAAAACCCAAAGATGCTCCCACCAAAGTTTCTTACTTCGCAAAAACAAAAACCAACCAATCGTTCAGGCTCTGAACCAAGGGTTCCATGCAACAAAGACATGTCACAGGAGACAACAACAACTTCAACTCCGAAGTCATGATGACAAAGGAGAAAAGAGAGAAGCTTCATGCGCCGTTGGTTGTTCATAGTCATAATGATTCGATGAGAGTGCCGGTGTTTGTGATGCTGCCATTGGACACTGTAACAATGGGAGGGACTTTGAATAAGCAGAGAGCATTGAATGCTAGTTTGATGGCTCTGAAGAGTGCGGGAGTGGAAGGAGTGATGGTGGATGCTTGGTGGGGTTTGGTGGAAAAAGTGGGGCCCTTGAAGTATAACTGGGAAGGCTATGCTGAACTTGTGCAAATGGTTCAAAGGCACGGGTTGAAGCTGCAGGTTGTCATGTCTTTCCATCAATGTGGAGGAAATGTTGGAGACTCCTGCAGGTATCATACACCTCTCATTTTAACTCATTCCAAACTGCTTTTTACTGGTCATTGTTTAGATTTGGTGTTTGCAAAGAAAGGGGTAATATTGTTGCGTGAGATTGATTTTTGTTCGATTGTGATATCAGTCACGCAGTTAGGTTTGTTTTATAGTTATAGTAATGAAAGGGCAAATAAAAAAAGGATTAATTTTGATTTTATTGTAATTTTGTAGTATTCCTCTGCCTCCATGGGTCCTGGATGAAATCAACAAGAACCCTGAGCTGGTTTACACAGACAGATCAGGGAGGAGGAATCCAGAATACATATCCTTGGGCTGTGATTCAATGCCTGTTCTGCGGGGAAGGACGCCCATTCAAGTGTACTCTGATTATATGAGGAGATTCCGAGACAAATTCAGAGATTATTTGGGCAGTGTTATCATTGTAAGGACTATACCCACTAGTGTTTCAATTTTGGGGTTAATTTGTGGTCAGAGTCTGAAAGAAATTTGGCTAAAATTTTTAGATAACAAGAGCTTTAAGTGCATTGAATACATTAACAACCACACATAGGATCAAGAAGATAATGACTAATTAATAATATTAATCACGTAACTAAAACTAGTTCTTTATTCAACCATATTCATAAATTTAAAAGACTGGTTTGAAGGGGAATAGAGGGAAAGCATTTATAAATTGATAAAATACTAGGAATTGAGAAATTTGTTTCCTGATATGAAGTCCTAAGACTAAATTCATTTGCAGGAAATTCAAGTGGGGTTGGGTCCTTGTGGGGAGCTGAGATATCCATCTTATCCTGAAAGCAATGGAACTTGGAGGTTTCCTGGAATTGGAGAATTCCAGTGCTACGACAAGGTATGGATAATTTAAAGGCATAAATTTTGCTTCAAATGCGGTGAAGAAGATGCTAATGTTACACATGTTCCATAACAATCGGACCCCTAAATCTCTAGCTTTGTGATAACAATGACATCTCAAATGTGACGAATTGCAAAATATCTAGAAATGATTTTCTCCTTTTTCTTTTTGGGTTTACTAAAATGAATTGTTTGTTGTCATGCAGTATATGAGAGCTTCTTTGGAAGCATCAGCTGAGGCCATTGCGAAGAAAGATTGGGGAAGAAGTGGACCCCATGGCTCCGGCCAGTACAACCAATTTCCTGAGGAAACTGTATTTTTCCAAAGGGAAGGAACATGGAACCCAGAATATGGACAATTCTTTCCTTCACTGGTACTCCACCAAACTGCTTGAACACGGTGAGAGAATCCTTGTGTCAGCCAAAGGCATATTCAACTCATGTGGGGTGAAACTATCTGCAAAAATTGCTGGAATTCATTGGCACTACAAGGCAAGATCACATGCAGCTGAACTAACTGCAGGCTACTACAACACTCGGTTTCATGATGGGTACTTGCCAATAGCACAAATGCTGGCAAAACATGGTGTAGTGTTCAACTTCACCTGCATGGAAATGAGGGACAAAGAGCAACCTGAGCATGCTAATTGCTCCCCAGAGGGGTTGGTTCATCAAGTTAAGATGGCAACCAGAACAGCAGGAGCAGAGCTTGCTGGGGAGAATGCTCTTGAGAGATATGATGCAGGTGCATTTCCTCAAGTTTTGGCAACAAGTGCCTCTGGTTCTGGATTGGCTGCATTTACTTTTCTGAGAATGAATAAGAAGTTGTTTGAGGGAAACAGTTGGAGGCACTTTGTGGAGTTCGTGAAGAGCATGTCCGAAGGTGGTAGGAGACAAAGGCTTCCACGCTCTGATTCCTGTGGCACTCATCTTTATGTTGGACACATCACAGGAATTCAGAAGCAGCAAGAGCAGGCTCAAGAGGTTGCTCTTACGTGAACACATATAGCATCATGGAGGGGTCATTTGTGCATACTATGTAGTTAAATTTAAATCATCATAGTTTCTATAGAAGACAAAAGGGTGGAAAAGGTGGTAGAATTATGATGGGTATACACGCAAGGAAAATGGTACATCATAGGCCAAATCCTTAGATTATTAGGAAGATATTGTTTCATTTAATGTTAAAAATCCTATAGTGCCGTGCGATTATCAAACCCATCTTATGCATCTCACGTGAAATCGTTTGTTTGTTCCAACCTTCCAATATGTTCAAACTTTTAATAATAATAATAAAAAAAATCTTTAAAAATAAGAAATTCTTGTTCATTTTCAGTTCATTAGAGAAAGAGTTGTGTACATTAATCTTGTGTTCATTTTTATGCATTCATTTTAAAAGATGACAAATAAATTTTAAAAAATAGTATAATTAATATCATCATATTGAAAATTATATTGTATTTCCAAATATGACCTCAATTATTATTTTCTTTCAATTATATTAAATTATTTAAAAAATTAGGTAAAAAAGAAGATTATAGTAAAAAATTTAGTATCTAATATTATTTTAAACTTCTAAGGGAGGAGAAACATTATCGTAAATTAGTCAAAAATCACTTTCTAAGGCTTTACATTGACGATAATACGATGTTGAAAGGGAAACCACTTGTTATAAATTGGAGGTGGTGATATACAATAGGAATAGACTTTTCAATGGTATATTCTCTTCACACTTTGACACATTAGTTTCATCCAAAGTAAAAATGAATTCGAGGGCACACAGTTTTGAACATATTTTAACTTCATCAAGTGGAAGCAATTACGTTTTGCTGATACAAATATTTTAGAGAATTTTTATCAAAATATAACCAGAGAAAAGGTAATATAGGACTTGGCTTTGTGGTGTTGAATTTAACTAACTGAAAATATCATTTCTGAGATGCATCTATTTACTAGTTGGGACCAATTTAGATTGTGTGGATTTAGAATTCATACTGGGGGAAGTGTTTTTGGTTTCTGAATCCTCCAATGCTTGCTTCAAGCTTTCCACTATCTGACTCATCGAGGGTCTATCATCAGGATTCTTGTTCAAGCAGCAATCTGCCAACGTGGCTACTTTCCGAGCTGCACCAAGAGAATATTGGTTCTTGAGACGTGGGTCAATTATCGTGTTGAACCTGCTACTGTTAGCAGGATAATTTTTAACCCATTCTATAAGCTTTTGTTCCCCTATTGGACGGTTTCTATTCAATACACGTCTCCCTGTGAGGATCTCATAAAGCACCACACCAAAACTCCAAATATCACTCTGGACTTTGAGATGACCCGTCTCAACATACTCTGGGGCAGCATATCCCTGTGTCCCCACTACCTGATAAGTACCACAAATTGTTAGAATGCTTTGTTCTTTTGAACAATGACGAGTGTGGTTGTAAATGATAGATAATCAAAGCTATGCTGCTTAATTGCCAACACTAGCATCTGCAATGGTTACTAATAATTTCATTTATGGAAGGAAAGTCATATAATTGAATAGTAGTGAAAATTGTGGGACTTCAACTTACCGCTGTAGATACGTGAGTCTTATCACCTGCTGGGCCCTCCCTAGCAAGACCAAAATCTGACAGTTTGGGATGAAATTGCTTGTCCAATAACACATTTGAAGATTTGAAATCTCGGTAGATCACCTTCCAATAAAAAAATTAAACCCAGACAAGATTATAAACCAAGACAGATAACTGGAAATCTAACTTCCATTAAAAATATGCTGTGTTAACATTACATTAATCCTGCATGAGATGTGATCCCAGACCTAAAATTTATATCTCATAGTATATATGTTTCTTTAGTTCTATTATGACACAAGCAAGCGAAATGCTTTTAGCAGGCGTGATCCCAAAAATGTGAAGAGTATTTTGAATTTGTTTTTCTAAATACTGGTGCTACTGCCTTAAAAAGGATAGTCAGCTAAAATGTGAAACATGTCTCAACTACAATGTACCTGAATCTCCAATCCGTTATGTAGATAATACAATCCTTGAGCAGCACCGAGCATGATCTTCAATCTTGTTGGCCAAGGCAAAGGAGGTAAAGAAAAACTGAAAAGATGATCTTCCAGACTCCTGTTAGGCATGTACTCATACACCAACAACCTTTGGATTCCTCTTTCACTGTCTATAGAACAGTATCCCAGAAGTTTAACCAAATTAGGGTGGTTAACAACGCCCAGAAATTGAACCTCTGCAAGCCATTCTTTATGCCCCTTTACAGAATAGAGAAGAAAAATAAGACGAACATGAGAAACCAAGTATATTTTCCAAGTACAAGTGAAGTGTTGGCATAATTCAGAGACAGCATAACAATATTGACTTTGACTCTGTAAATTCGTTATCCATTGAAAGGTAACATGCAGTTCTACCAGCCATGGAAATAAAACTTTTCACTCGTTAAAATTAACTTATCCATTGATTAATAGAACTTTTCCAAATAGGTTCTTCGGAAACTGAAATTTCCTTTTATACAAATTGATTTTAACTTATAGAAAAGTAATTTAACCTTTTTCTCCCTACAAGTATTTCTTGAAAGTTTCATCCAAACTCGGGTGTAACCACCTACACCAATCAAAATCATTGTATCTTGTTACACTGTATCATGATTGTAATAGTCCGTTGGAAGATCTTTGAACAATTATAATCTATACCAAAAGAAGGGACGAAGAATCATCGGAGCAAATAACAGTCATCAAAACCACAAATTATTGCGACTGAGGATGAGAAAAACAAAGCTAGTGAAGCAAGGTGTGTTTGTGTGTGTATACCTGTAAGCCACGCGTGTTAAGTTTTTTTATTGCGACCACAGTTGGATCAACTCCATCTTCAGGGTGAGGACTAATTGTTCCTCTATATACTTTCCCAAAACCACCTTCTCCAATCTTGAGCATCCTATTGAAACCATTTGTTGCATCTACCAGCTCTTTCAAACTGAAGATTCTGAAATTCTGCTTCTTCTCTTTGTACAATTCTTTTATACTCCTCGGTGACGGTACCGTGCTGGGGGATTTAGGTGCTCCATTCACCACCTGATTTTTCTTCTTCCATCCCTTTGGGAGTTCTGGGTGGGATTTTGATTTGTTTTTGAAGAAGAAACAGTTCATTTTATAATCATCAAGTCACTGAATTTCTCAGCAGAACAGAGTGTAGAAAGACTGAGAGTTGAAGAGATGATGAAAACAAATGAAGCAAATTATGCTTCAAAGATGAGATAATGAATGAAGTGGAGAGAAAGAAGAAACGCAGGTGGGGGTTGTTCCGTGTAGCAAAGGAAATTGAACAAATGGACGTGGAATTAAAGAAAAAAACCGCGTGCAAACCCGCGTCTTGTACAGAGAACCGCAGGATTAACAACTAAAAGGGTCATCTTTAGCGTGATGGTTGTGCAACATCTATAAACCACCAATTCAGGGTCGGGAAAAAAAGACTTTATTGCAACTTTTTAGGACGTATATTCTCAACATGGTCAAAGAATGTCTTAAATTTACCTTTTGAAATGAAAAAAAGTGACGAAAAGAAAAAACTTGTGTGAAAGATGATTAGTTAAAGTTTTAATGCGTGTGTTCACTTTTTCTTTTACAATTATATAAAAAAAATACAATTTAAGAAGCCCAATTATTAAAATATTATAAGAATAAGAACAAAATTAAAACACAAAATACACATACGCAAAACCAGTTACCAAATAGAAATGAGTTTAATTAATCTTCGTTAAAAAAAAAATTGATAAAAAAAGGAATCAGAATGATAAAGACAGAAGTTGAGACTTGCGAATGTGAGGTCGGTCAACATCTATAATATAATATTAATATTTATTATAGATATTGTGAAGTTGAATTGAATATGACTTTAAAAGTTTGAAGATAGTGTGGCGTCTACAACAACCACCCAACCTAACCAAAGTTTCCTTCGTTTTTCTGCTTTCCTTTGTAGAGTCAGAGAACAACAAAAATCACGACATGACAACCTAATATGTTTCTTAAAATATCATAAACTTAATTAATACTTTGGTTATATTAAGAAAATAACATTTTAAAAATTATTAGTGAAATTTAATACACTTAACTGTTTGTTAATATTTAGTAAGTGATTTTTATTCTCATATAACTTATATATGAAAACAGAGAGGTAATTACTTTCAATTTAATGAAGTGTTCACTGTATAGAGAATTAAATAGTACAAATGCGACGAAAAATTTAAGAGTTCTTCAACTAATTCAAAATATAATAAATAACCATTAAAGTTTTTAAATTTTCATAAATTTTATCCTATATGTTTTACACTTTCGCAAATTTTGTTATTTTAAATTTAAATTATGTACATGTTTTTCTTCAATTAAATGTCAGATTATTGCAACACTACAGGATATACCGATTATGTAAAAAAAAAAAAACTCGATAAAATGCTAAAAAAATCTTATAGTTGTTATTAATTATTTGTTTTGTTTTTATTATTTAAAAATAAATTTAAATTTGTTTATATATTCTTATCATTTTACAATGTAAGATATTTTAGAGTTATCCAAATATCAAGCCCAATGAAATCTAAAAAATATAGGTTACGTATAACTTTTAATGAGAATTAATTAGGCGACGCAATGAATATCATTAAAGATGTGTAATATTCTTCCATATTGTTGATATGTTTGGAAGCTAATGTTACGTTATTATCTTCTGATTAATAGATTAATCCTTATCCACATTAAACTATTAACTAATCATACTACTATTGGAAGTTCTATTGATAATTAATTACAATAATAAAGAAGAGAAAATATCTTAACAATAGATGATTTAATTAATAAGAATGGTTTATATTCAAATAAAGTTAATTTGATTATTTTATTCCGTTGCCGGGATTTGAACCCGGGTCTCTCGGGTGAGAGCCGAGTATCCTAACCAACTAGACTACAACGGATTTGATGATCAGATTGAAACAAAATTATAAACAAATCTAATTAATAACGTACGTTAGATAACTCTGTCATTTCTCATATGAACCTTTTGTTGTCAGAGAAGTAAAAAGTAAATCAAGTTAAACAATGGTGACCGTGTTGCTGCAAACGGAAAGGTACCATATTTATAACCCTTCGTTTATATATATATATATATATATATATATATATATATATATATATATATATATATATATATATATATATATATATATATATATATATATATAAAAGCAAATACAATCAATTAAGCTTGTAAGGTACTTAGAGCCCAAAAATAAAGTGCAATCCAAAATATAAAAATGCTATTAAAAAAACATAAAATACATGAGAAATATAATAAATAAAACATATCCAAGGATTATTATGTCAATTTACCATTCTTATACTAGTCGAAGATATTTACTTTTAAGAATTCAAACGAATAGAGTAAAATAACTTTAACTGATCCACAACGCCTTGATTAAATATCATACAATTTCGGTGCAACCAAATAGACCAGATGACCGCAACCCAAATAATAACAAAGTACCGAGATTGTTTATTACTCCTCCCTTGATCACACCAAAGAAGAAAAAATGACATCAAAGAAGAAGACATAACAAAATTAACACTAAGCCAGCAAAAAACATTCATCCATGTACTATATGCCACCGGACAAAAAACAAAAAAATACATCGAATCTTCTACAAATAAACCACATATAGGACACAAAGTAGAATCCAACTGCACACCACGCCCCTGCAGAAGCAACCTACAGGGAACAAAATTCAAGAAAAGATGCCAAGAAAACACCAAGTATTTGATAAGTACTTTACCTTTCCAAAGTCTGCACAACACCTCCTGAAAAGTAACATAAAAAAATGGAATATTAACCAGAAGAGTCAACAACCAACCATAAGCAGACTTAACAGACTATATCCCTGAAGCATCAACCAACCAACACCAGTGATCCTCTAGGTGAGGACGCAACACAAATTCATCTATAATTTTCATCAAACTCGCTACCAATGACAACTCAAATGAGAAGGGAAAACGACGCTAAGGAATGTCTCAAAACCAATTCTCTCCAGAATAATGACCATTCTGCGCTACAACCGAATAGGGATCGAAAGCAAAGGAATATAATATGGGAAAGACCTCCTTTAGCCTAAAGCCACCCAACCACCTATCCTCCCAAAATCTCGTCGAAGTACCATCCTCTACAGTATATAATATCTTCTCATCAACTCATTGTCCTCCTAATTGTAAAGTAGACACAAGATCCCACCACCAACTAGAAGCATGCCGATCCGCCAAACACAACGACGGGGCCAGACCATACCGCGCCTGAAGAACATGTGCCCAAAGAGCCCCCGGATATGAAAATCAACGCTAGATCCATTTGTCAAGTAAAACATAATTAAACAACTTCACATCCTTAATTCCAAGCCCACCCGCTCCCTTCGAATGACACACCAACTCCCACGGGATCCAAGAGATCTTAGACAGATCCTTAACCCCATTCCACAAAAAATTCCTTTGAATAATGATAATATCCTTCACCACAGAGTTAAGGATTTTGAAAAAGGAGAGGAAATGGATAGAAATAGAATTTAGCACCAAGTTAATAAGAGTGACACGACCACCAACACCAATTGAAACATACATGTACTTTCAAGATGAAAGTCGATGTCGCATACTATCCAACACAGGCTGTCAGGTAACCCGCAATCTCGGATTCGCTCCAAGGGGAAGCCCCAAATATTTAACAGGCAGGTGACCCCTACGACAATGGAGAAAATTTGCTGCTAGTTTCACAAAGTCATCGTCAGTATTTACCTCCACCACACAACTTTTATGGAAATTAATAGACATGTTTGATATAAGTTCAAACTCTCTTAACAACGCCTTAACTATCCATAGATTACGTGTAGAAGCTTCCCCAATAATCAAAGTATCATCTGTAAACTGCAGGAGAGACACAACAGGCCCTAACCCCAACTTGCAAACCAGTAAACAACCCCCCTCCAGCGTCCTATCCATCATCAACCGCAATCCCTCAGCTGCAATTAAGAATAAGAATGGAGTCAGCGGGTTCCCCTATTTCAAGCTCCTCCCAATACTAACCTTCGAAGTAGGACTACCATTCACCAGCGCCGACAAGCTACCTCGACAAACACACCCCTCCATTCATCTAACCCACATCTCATCAAAATCAAAACCACGCAACATATATAACAAATAGTCTCATTCAATCGAATCATATGCTTTCTCATAGTCAATTTTAAGCACAAAGATACTCTTCTTATAACGTTTCGCAAAATCATTTGCCTCATTTGCAACAAAAAAACTATCAAGCATGCTACGATCTGGAACAAAAGCCGACTGATGGTGTGAAATACTCGAATGGAGCACACAGCGCAATCGAATTGCCATCACCTTCGACAATATTTTATACAGGCATCCAAGAAGGGAAATAGGCCGAAAATCAGACATCTGCTGAGGACAGGAGACTTTAGGAACCAACACCACATAATAAGATAATAGAGCCTTAGGAACCGTAAAATTATTATAAAAGTCAGTCAAAACTTCCAACACCTCAGTACGCATCAACCGCTAGAATTTCTTAACAAAGGCAAAATTAAACCCATCCAGACCCAGACTTTTATCCCCATCACACTCTACTAACATAACATTTACCTCCTCCTTTGAAAATGACACCACAAGTGACAAATTTTGCTTAGAAAAAATGCCTAACACACCCATAAAATCCAGCATAGGCCTATGCCACAACCTGCCTGAAAAGTGATCAGAGAAATAATCCACCACCACCCCTCGAATACCCTGAATATCCTCAACCAACCGCTCACCAACAAACAAAGCATATATTTGATTGTAGTTTCGTCGCCATCGGAGACAAGCATGAAAGTACTTTGAATTCAAGTCACCATACTTAACCCAACGCACCCTCGCCTTTTGGGCAATCAAACATTGTTTCCTTCTCCGTGCACACCAAATCTCAGGCAGGTCCTCTTTTTGCCATACTAACTCCACCAAACTGAGATCCTACACCTCATTCTTATCATCTAGAGCCTGCAACTCAACAGTAAGAGAAGAAATAGTATTGTCGAGGTTACCGAATATCTCAACATTCCATTTCCTCAATG